TGATAAGTTGGAACAGAAAAGAACCTGGTTACTTTTTTATGCTGATAACCAGGGCCATCCCTAGGGGGGTGCAAATCAGGGCGACTGCCCCAGGCCCTGCGCTTTGGGGGCCTTGTGGAGCCAGCCTGGCTTTTCGTCCAGCCGCTCAAAAACCCCTCCCTCACCTTCCCCCCCCCAGCTATGGGCCCCGCGCAGGCTGATTTATCCCGGGCCCCACACCCAGCTAGTCATTTCTGCTGGTAACATAAACTATATAATATCCAAATGGTTATAATAGGAAATGAATGTAGGAAATAATAGGAAAGGAATTCATTTCTTATTAAATTTACTTATTTACATTCCAAACTTCCCTATATGTTTAACACATGGGTACCATCTTTGAAGAGTTTACAATCTAAGGTCCCAAACTTGAAATTTACAAGAAACACACGGCAGGGTAGATAAAAATCAATGATTAAAAAAAAAAAAATTAGAAATTGGGGTTTTTTTTTTATTTAATTGTATTTTTTGTTAAGATGGGTTTTAAAAAAAATAAACATATAAAGATAGCTTTAATTTAAGATATGTTACAGCTCAAAGATATCACGAAATGGGGATTATAATTTCTAAGTATATACTATTTGAGATGATATATTCATGTAACCTTTTGAGAAAAGTTTTATAAATAGGACACAACAGGCCATGGACTATATTGGGGGACCCAATCTTATAGTTAGTTTCACAGTTTCTAGGGTCAGCAGGGACCTGAGTAGATCATCTAGTCTGACCCCCTGCCATGGCAGGAAAGATTATTGGGGTCAAACGACCCCAGTATGGGGTCCCCAAAGGCTCCTCTGTGGATTAGTAAAGATTAAAGAAAACCACCCTACCCAATGGGACTCAGTGCCCAGTCTAGAAGATCCCATTAAGCATCTTTGTGATGCTTAGATCAGTTCTCAAACTCTGGATTTGTATATCCAGAGATCATAGGCAGACAAGGGTCTTTGAATAGATGTGATATCTTTTATTAGACCAGCTAGATAGTTGGAAAAATTGTTCTTTGCAAGCTTTTGGGCACAAACACCCTTCTTCAGGCATAGGGGGAGTTTGTTGTCTCCAGAGATAACATCCTTGTTAACAGTAGTATATGGAGATGAGAAAGAACAGACCTGATTACTTGGGCTGTGTGAAACTGCGGATGCAGATTCAATTTGAGGGAGATTCGGCCCCATTCAGCGGCCAAATATCCCAACCCAAATCAAATCAGGGGACCAATTAAAAGGTTCAGATCAGTTTATAGACTTATATATTCATAGATTCATTGACACAGAGGCTGGAAAGGACCCCGGAAGATCACTGAGTCCAGCCCCCTGCCCCAGGGGCAGGAAGTCAGCAGCGATCATAGGATCCCAACAAGATAAGCATCCAAATATCCCTTCAAGGCATTCAAAGTAGGTGCTTGAACCACCTCCAATGGAAGTCTATTTCAAACCTTGGGGACTCGTACAGTAAAGAAGTTTTTCCTTACGTCCAGCCTTAAACGGTCATGGAAGGGTTTGTGACCATTTGTCCTTTTCATCCCTTGGGGTGCTCTGGTGAACAGACGTTCCCCCAGATCCTGGTGAGCACCCATGATAAACTTATAGGTGGCCACCAGATCACCCCTGAGCCTGCGCTTTTCCAGGCTGAAGAGTCCCATGGCTCTCAGCCTCTCATCATAAGATCTGTTTTCCTGACCTTTGATCCTACGCATGGCTCTCCTCTGCACTCTCTCAAGCTTCTCCACACCAGCTCATCCCCTGCCCTATCCCCTCCTTACCTGAGTTTCCCCATGCCAATGCAGCCACATGGTCCCAGGCCAGAAGACCCTGCTGGGGCTTCTGGCTGGGAGGGTGGGGGCGAGTGGGCCCTGCTGTTGCGAGAGCCCACCGGGCTTCCTCTGGGTCCTACTGCCCCTGGTTCCTGTGATCTTTGACATCCTGTTACTTTTTAATTTTCAAAAAAATTTTAGGGGTCCCGCAGGAGATTCAATGGCCCCGCTGGCCGGATCTGGCCCATGGGCCAGATTTTGCCCACCCCAGTCTAGAATATCAGTTATCAAGTAAAGATGCCAAGGGAGCTTAGAACAGTTCATATTTGGTAAATCCATGTTGCATTTCTTCCCCATTTCCCTTTTACTTTGTGCCTTTAGGCTAAAGTCAGGGCGCGTGGCACCTTGTAGACATATTTGTTCAGAGCTTTCATAGGCTACACTCTACTTTGTCAGATGAATCTCATGAAGTAAGCCAGGACTGTCCACTTGGGGGCCTGGGGGCCACATGCAGCTCTCAGGAGCCTCTGGGCTCCTACCTAGCCACCACCAGAAGCGGATCCAGGATTTTATAAAAGGGGGTGAGGAAGTAGCAACCAGCACTGCAGAAGTAGCTGCACCGTGCCACCTCAAGCCTCCTCCCCATTGGGGCAGGTAGATCATGCCCCAAGAGCAGCAGCTGGGAGCTTTAAGCCAAAAAAGATAGGTATTCCCCCATCCCTTCTCCATACTCAGATGCATGTCCCTTTCTCCCCCTCCCTGTCCCCTCTCCTCCCAGTGCCCTCTCCCCTGCCTGCCACTGCTGGCATTCCTGCTGTCCATCTTGTTCCAGTGGTATGGGGAGCTCCTTTCACACTCCAGCTAGGCTGTGTGGGGGCTGGGCTCAGTCCAGGATGGTGGCAGCAAGTGGGTTTCTTTTCCCCATGCCTGTTCCAGGGCTGGCAAGGAACATCCAGGGAAAACAAGCAGGGATGGGATATCTGCTCACCCACTGCCTCCTCCAGTGTCCGGTGCTGAGCCCAGCCCCCAGGCAGCCTATCTGGAGTGGGGCAGGACCTTTCCTCATCCCCAGGACAGCCCAGACACCAGCAGTGAAAGGCAAGAGAAGCAGGATGGAAGTGAAGGGGAGAAGAGGGGACATGCTTCTGAGCATGGAGGGGAAAGGTGTGAGGAATGCTTTCCTTCTCCAGGACTTAAAAAAGTCCCAGGCTGTTACTCCTGATGTGTGGTCATAAAGAGGGGGTGTAGTTGTGCCACTATACCCACTCTGGATCTGCCCGTGGCCATCACTCCCCCTATTGCTTCAGCTGCTGCTGCAGCCAGGGTCTCTTGGCTCCCTCTTCTTCCCTCAAATTTAATTTCCTGCTCCTGCCCCAAGCCACAGAGCAATGCCATGGCCAACCATGGTCAGCATTGGTGTGGCCCCTGTTGGCAAGGCCCACACTGTGTGAGGCCCTTGCCTACCTAGAAGCTGGACAGCCTTCAAGTAAACTGTAGTCTATGAAAGCTCATGCCTTTCTGAATGAGTTAGTCTGTAAGGTGCCACCCTTCCTTGCCTTCTCCATATCTTCAGCCTGATGTGGCCAAGTAACTCTCTCTACTCATTTGTGTCTTTTAATTTTCTTTTTCTTTAAAATGTGTTCTAAATCTGTGTATATATACAGGTCAGATTATTGGGCTCATAGTTGCTTAGATTGCATTGTTTCTTTTTCTTAAGCATAGAATTGTCATTGCTCCTCTCCAGTCAAACAGTGTCATCTTTGCCTGATTTATTAAACACTGACCTTGACCTGCAATTTCATATGCCGTTTTTCAGAATTTCCTTTTGTCTTCTCCTTAAAGTATTTCAGCAAATCGTTCTGCTGTATTTTCTGATTATTTCTGCTTTATCTTATTATACTACATAGCACTTAAGTATTTCTTTTAGGATTAATTTACAAGATTGATTCTTAGGTGAAAGGAAAATTGTTTCTGTATCCCCCCCCACTTCTTATTCTTCCTGTTCCTCCTCATCTTTATTCAGTATTAAAGATTCTGATTCTGGATTACTTTAAACACTATGATCCTCAGTGCATTCAACTAAAGGTGTTTATTTGATATTTCTGGTGTTTTGGATAGTCATTTATAAGGTGCTTTGCAATTAGATGCGAAGAGAATTATGCACTATAAAACCTTTATGCATCATACATTATATTGTAATGCATTCCATTTGGGTACACATGCTGAGATTAGCAACATTAATATCTTCACTTTATAGAAAAAATATATCATCTTTAGCATTAGTACAGTTATAGGCCTTTTCATTCACCTGACTTTGGAATCTTACATCAAAATAACTATTATTTATCTTTCAGTTCTATTAAAAGCAGCGTGGTGAACACCACCAAAAGAAACTTCTCAATGATTTGCCCAATCCTAAAAATGAAATAACTTGAGACAGACTCACTTTTGTAGATGAGTGGAAATCCTATATTAAACACTTCTGGCCCTATGCAAAAACTGTGTTGAAAGTAACTTAACTTGGTTGGAAATAGAATTCCAGTTCACCATAAATAATTCATTCTGATTTTAACTCCCTTTTTCTACTCATTTTCTATATTACAATTGACTCAGGTGTATTTTTATGACTCTTTGTCATGCATTTTTAAATGCAGTTTTTAAATAATTATTAATAGCTTGCTGTACAAGTAAAACACTCAATATTCATAAGTCATCATTCCTGTGTTCTCATTTACTTTGTGTAGTTTTTATAAATAATCAAGAGGAAGCCTTGAAGAAGCCATTTGGCTTTGAATATGTTGGCTGGCTACTGAACTAAACTTTAATTTTCCCATCATATTCACCTGAGGTTTGTAGAAGGTCCTGTTTATGAAGGCTGCAGTAATATCCCTCTTCAATTCATCTGATTGTCTTTATTCAAAGATTCCAGCAAGAGGTTTGAGGAATCTTCTTTCCTTGTGTCATGCAGCTTCTTATCCCACATTACAGAAACCAGTTCCAGTGTTGCTACACATGTAGATAAATTGGAAGGTCATATTCTCTGAGTATTTATGAAAATAAAACTTGATGCCTTGAATATTCGTGGAAAGAAAATAAGTCAAATAGGCCAACCTTGGGTGTAGACCTATTTCCCACTACTTGGAAGTTCCAGACTATAACATGTACATGGTACTCCTTGTTTTGCTTCATGCCTGCTTTTCTCCTTTTGTAGGATGGAGTTTCAGTATGGGATCTGCCTATCAGTTTCACAGCTGGCGAGTATTTGTGATCGTCTGTGCACTGCCCTGTGTCTGCTCTGTGGTAGCACTCACATTCATGCCAGAAAGTCCAAGGTTCTTGCTGGAGGTAAATCTTGCAAAACATTCTTTAAAATTTCCTATTCCAATCTAAATGATTTCTGGGGTCTTATTATAACAACACACCACCAGAAATTAAAATTACTAAACAGATTTAGTACATGGTTTAACAAATATTTGTCAAATTTTTAGGTTGGAAAACATGATGAAGCTTGGATGATTCTCAAACAAATTCATGACACAAACATGCGAGCTCGTGGTCAGCCTGAAAAAGTTTTCACAGTGAGTACTGCTTTCCAAGCCTATCTCATAAAGCAGCTTCAGGTATTCCTGTTAGATAGGCACTGGTTGGTTTAAAAATAAGTACCTGTACTCTACATACAGGTTTTACATCAGGCTCAGAGTAAAGAAGTAACTCTAAACCAGGGGTCGGCAACCCTGGCATGTGTGCTGAGCATGGCAAGTGAGGCCATTTTGCTCGGCACTCCACAGCCAGCCCCGGCTTTGGGTAGCTGCTGCCAGCGATGGAGCCCGGGCTGCTCCCAGGAAGGCTTGCAGCGTCCCAGCTGTCTGCTGGGAGCAGCCCGGGCTCCCAGCTGGCAGCAGCTACCCAGAACCAGGGCTGGCTGCAGCCGGGAAGCTAAGCTGCAAACAGCTGTGCTGGGCTCTGGAGCCTAGGCATCAGCTCCATACCAGCGCGTGCATGCACACCTCAGAGCAGGTGGTGAGGGAGCGGCCTGAGGCAACACAACCCAGGTCTCTACCCCGCTTACGGCACAGAGCTGGGCTCCAGAGCCCGGCACAGCTGTTTGTAGCCAGCCTGGGCTCTGGGCAGCTGCAGCAAGCAGCAGGCAGGCTGCAAACAGCTGCACCGGGCTCCACAGCTCCAGCATCAGCTCCATGCATGTGCAGTCACTGCCGGCATGGAGCTGATGCATCCTGCCATGTACCCCCTGCCCTCATTTTGTTTTTCTGGCATGCTGGCACTCCAGCACCTTCCAAGACAGGCATTATGGTGTTTTTCAGCACTCTGGCCAAAACACGTTGCCTACCCCTGCTCTAAACTATCTTCTAAATGTAACAACTGAGATTTTCAAATAAGACTAAGAGATTTGGATAAAAAATCAATAGGTATTATACAGATGTCAAAATACCCACTTTGGAAACCACTTGCAAGGTATATCAATCAGTACTGTAACAATGACTTCCATTTTATTAATATAACCATAATAGGTTTTTCTTAAGACTATGGCTGCAATTCCACCTCAAAATTAGTTTGAACAATAGTAGGAGGAAAAATTCCCTGGACTTCTTTCTTTGTGCAAAGAAGACTTTTCCAATGACTTTCCATTTTAATCAGCTAAAATAATAGAGGTTATTTTATACTTTTTTCTTATATTAAGATCCCATATCATTTCAGGAAATTAATTTTCTTATAAACCCCAGGGAAGATTATATATCATTGTTGACTATTTGGCTTGGGCAATTAAGCAATATTCAGGGAGAAGAAATTAATAATGTAAGTCAGGTATTTCTTTGGTGCAAGCCTGCTCATTAACAAAGAATGTGCACAAAGCCCTGTTTTCTTGAACACAGTGTAAATAAACTGCGTCTTCCAGTTTCTTGCTCAGAAATCTTTCTTTCCACACTGTCCTGCGTATCAAAGAGTTCTGTCTTCCTGCTTTGTCTCAGGGCTAGTCTTGCAGCCGCATCTCTTGCTTTCCTGCTAACTTTCTGGTTCTTTTGATACACAAATAGTTTGCCAATTTTTTTTTTCCAAAAGCCCTTAATTTTTACATTCAGTCTCAGGGATACCCCTCCGATCACACTTAATTTTCCTCAGACTGCCATGCATTTGATTGCCCTAGAAGATAACTTTAATTGTCTCCCACTATCTTATATCATGAAGAAGTTCAATGCTCCTTCTGTTCACCTTAGAAAAAGGCAGGGTAACAGAGACCATCTTCCACCAGGTCTGCAGTTGACAAAATCAAGACTCACCTAACATTTTTTTATGAATACCTACCCGATCAATGTTGTTGTTATTACCAATAATACCTTATTTCATCGGTAGGTAAAATGAATTACCTAGGTCTATTAGGTAAGGCCCTGGGCAGATGTAGCATCTTAAGTGCTTCAAATGTTGCTCAACTTTGAAGTGTTTCAAATATAGAGTGCCTCAGTCAATAACAGACCCACAGCCCCCTGCCATGACTCTCTCCACCCCACAACCAACCAGAGTGCTTCAAAAGATGCCCCAATGGGGAAAAGCAGGTCAGAAATCCTGTGAGTACTGTCTTGTGCACTTGGCTTCCAGTCTCCTGGTTCTGGACTAGGAAAGGCATGCAAGGAACCATTTTGTCCAGCCTCAGCCTTGTACAGATGTAAGGCTCTGGAGTCCCTTCCAGAACCAGGAAATAGGAAGTCCCATGCCCCTCCCCCCACCAAAACTGAGAGTACAGAGGTGGTGTCATGCTTGGGGATCCTGGTTTTCTCTGATTAAAAATTGCAAATTCTCTGATTCAAAACCCAAAATCCATGATAATAATTAAATGCCCCCCAGAGCCCCTCCCCAGCACCACTGGTGCCCCATACTCCCCCCTCCAGCCTCAACAGCCCTCCTGATGCCCCTCACAAAAGCCCCCCAGAACCACAGACACACAGACACAGACATGCAGACACAGAGGCACACACAGACACTGACACCCTCCCCAACAGGTAAGTGTGTGTGGGGAAAAGAGTCAGGGCAGAGCGGGGGAAAGGGAAGGTGCTGGAAGGGTAGATCAAGAAGCTGGGGAGCATGCCTCTGTGCCCACTCCCAGGAGCAGGGCCAGGAGGTGAAGGCAGGGGTACCAGTCTGAGGGCCACACACGCACCCGCCAGCCTGACGGTGTTCACACACAGGGGCCACCACCACAACTCTGCCACTGCACCCTGCGCTACTATCCCATGGCCACCCACATGGCAAGTGGAGCAGGGCACAACAGCTGAACTGCGGTGGCAATCACCATGTGTGAGCCACATACGTGCTGCCCAGCCGGGGCATGGAAAGCGGGGCTTGCATGCAACGGCCACCACTGCACCTCTGCTTATGCCTTGCGATTGGTTGCACAGCTCTATAGCAATCCAGGATGGTGGCAGCTGCATGCTGGCTGCCAGTGCTATGCAGACAAGCACTGCCACCTGGAGCTATGCCCTTCGCCCATGGATCCTAGAGGTAAGTGGGGCTTGGGGGATGTGGGGCAGGACTGGGGAAGATGGTTGGGGACTCAGGGAGCAGGGGGTGCCGCCGGCCCAAGGCAGAACACCGCAGCCAGAAGCAGGGCCAGGCAGTGAGGGCAGGGGTCCCCCTCTGCGAGGGGCTTTGTGGGCAAGCAATGCGGGGTGCAGTGTGGTGGTGGCCACTATGTGCAGGCTGCACACATGCCACCTGGCCGTCTGCCCAGGGGAGGGGGAGGCTGGCATGTGGCTGGCTGCACAACTCCGGGCCTGGCTCTGCAGCAGCAGCGAGGGATGATGGCTGGTGGGACGGGGGGGCTCCCACATGGCGGCCACTGCTGCTTACCTGTAGGGCCATGCCAACAGTGATGGCTGCTGTGTGCAGAATCTCCCCGCACCGCAGCAGAGCTGTGCCCAGAGCTGTGCGGGTGGCTGCAGAACGGCAGCAGCAGTGTGGTGGTGGTCAGGCAGCATGCAGCCATCCCTACCACCATCCCACACTGCACGGTGGCCACGGCCGCCACCACGCTGCTGCTGCCACCCTGAGGCCAGCCGCACAGCTCCAAGCACAGCTCCATGGCGGCGTGGGAGGTTTTGTACACAGCGGCCATCACTGCTGGCATGGGCAGCCCCACAGGTAAGTGGCAGTGGCCACTGTGCGCCAGCAGTGATGGCTGCTTCATACAAAACCTCCCTGCACCACCACTGCCGCCGCAGAGCCATTCCCGGAGCTGTGCGGCTTTCCACAGGGTGGCAGCGTGGTGGCGGCCATGGCCACCACGCAGCATGGGATGGTGGTGGGGATGGCTGCGTGCCACCCAGCCACCATCACACTGCCACTGCCACCCTGTGGCTGGCTGCACAGCTCCAGGAATGGCTCGGCAGCAATGAGAGGTTTTGTAGGCAGCAGCCATCACTGCTGGCATGGCCCTACAGGTAAGTGGCAGCGGCCGCCACATGCAATCCCGCCCCCCAGCCACCATCCCTCAGTGCCACTGCTGAGCCAGCCGTGGAGCTGTGCAGCCGGCCGCATGCCAGCCTTCCCCTCCCCTGGACAGCTTTCCGGGCAACATGTGTGCAGCCCGCACATGGCGGACACCACGACACTGCACCCTGCATCGCTTGCCCGCAAAGCCCCCTGCAAAGGGGCACCCCTGCCTTCACCCCCTGGCCCTGCTTCTGGCTGCAGTGTGCCACCTGGGGCTGGAAGCATCCTCCGCTCCTTCAGCCCCCAACCATCTTCCCAGCCCTGCCCCACAGCCCCCAAGCCCCACTTACCTCTAGAATCCAGGGGCAAAGGGTGAGTGTGAGCCTGAGCCCAGCCTTGGCTGACTCAGAGGCTCGGGCTAAGCCCTTCCCCTTCTCCCTCCCCCTCCAGGCAGGGCTTGGGGTTTCCCACCCTTTCTACAATAGGCTCTTGCAGGCTGGAGCTGTTCCAGCCTGCAAGAGCTCTTTGCAAAAGCAAAGAATCCACGGATTTCTCTGCTAAAAAGGGAAATCCGTGTTTTCTCTGATAAAAACAGGGAATCCAAGGTTTTCTCCGTTTTTCCATGGGAAATGGAAAACCCATATCCCTGGTCATGATCCACCAGGCCAGCCAACGTAGTGAGTAGACATGGGCATGGATCTGGGAGTTGCAGGGGCCACAAGTCGGGAGCCAACATGCCAAGTAAGGCTGTGTGAAGCTTTAGTTCGTGATTTGATTCAGAGAAGATTCGGCCCAATTCGGAGGCCAAATCTCCAAATCCAAATTGAATCACTAGAAGCTTAAAACTTTCCCAATTGATTTGGAGCCTCCAAATCAATTTGGAAAAGATTTGAAAGAGATTTGGCAATTAGGAGATTCAGAAGGCAGTCTTTATGGGGAAACAGAAACTTAAAAGAGGGAGTGGAAGGGGGGGGGGAGAGGGAGCAGGGAGGGAAGGAGTGACATCTCTAGCTGGCTAGTGAGTGTGATTTCTCTCTGACTGCCTTTTCAATCACAGTGTCTGAGGGAGGGGCATAGAAACAGCATAAAAGCCTCTGCAGGCTTGCTGTGACTTTTGTGAGCTGGTTCTGAGTGA